TAGGCGCATGGATATTATCCTATCACTTATAGCATTATACCTCATGACTGATCTGGATATGTTCTTTTTGACGATGAATGCAACACCATTCCTCTTCAATTTGTCATTCCCTGCATAGTAAACCATGTGGTTATCAGATTCAAAATGGCCTATACCAGTCCATTTCAGCTCACTAATGCCTAAGATATAGATGTTGATTCGTTCCATTTCATTCTTGACAACTTCCAATTTTCCCAGATTCATACTTCGTGCATTCCATGTTCCAATTTTCAATGGATGTTTACAGCTGTTTCTCTTCATTTTGATTTGTGGCCCATCTGCAAATGAAGGTTCTGTGAGCTTTTCTCCCCCGAGATTTACTCTATTCACATCATCATGGTCAACTCTACTTTGAGGAGGCATTTTTTCCCCAGTCACATTCTGAGTGCCTTCCCACCTTCCAGTCCTGTATCTGACAGTGTTTCTCTGCTGTTCATAGTTTTCAGTGACTAGCGATTCAGAAGTAGTTTGTCACTCTTTCTTCCTAGTCTGTCTTTGTTTTGAAGCTCATCTGAAACCTGTCCACCATGGGTGACCCTGCTGGTTATTTAAAATACCAGTGGCAGAGCACTCAGAATCAAAGCAACTCAAACCACCATAGCACAACAGACAGACCAGTGGTGGCCGTTTGGTTTTATGTCTATACTGTCTCTTTAAATTTCGATATCAATCTTGATATAATCAAGATACAATCAAGATGTTCTCTCCTAATCCTATCAATCTGGATAAAATAAAGATAAGCTCTCCTAAGATGGCTGTTCCTGGAACAGCTGAGTGTCTTGATCCAGAAAATAATGGATTTATGGATTCTCCTGCAAATTCCCCAGCTATAAACCCTCCGATCCTCCAAACATACCTTTATATTTGTTCCAGAGTTCCAACACCATCTCATGAGCCCTCTTGGCCTGGTATTCCGTGTTGTTGTTGACTGAGCTCCTCACTACACGTCTACCCAATCCACCATCTTTAAGGTGGAAGGCCTGGTAATGTAGTGGTTAAAAATCTGGCTGCAAACCCCATGGTCAGCAGCTCGAATCCACCAGGCCCTCCACGTGAGAGAGATGAGGCTCTCCGTTCCTTGCAGTTAAACAGCCTTGGAGTCTGGCACATTAACCCACAGCACCACACCAGGACTCTGAATCTTGCTGCTCCAAGATCTCGCTGTCGCGTTCAATAGATATTGATAATTATGATTGGAATACAAAGAGGAAAAATTCATTAGTAGTTGTTAAAAATGGTCTTGCTGATAGAAAAACACAGGAGATCGCATGATAGAACTTTGCAAGATCACCCATTAATTAATTGCAAATACCTTTGTTTCAACAACATAAACAATGACTCTACAAATGGACCTCTACCAGCTGGTGTACAGAAGAATGAAATGACCATATCAGTGAAAGAAAAATTGGAGAAGCTCAATATCATCAGCCAAAAGAAGGCAAGGGGCCAACTGTGGGACAGATCATCGATTGCTCATAGTTCACATTGAAGATGACAGAAATTAAAACAGGTAAATGGTAACCAAAATACAATATTGATATATCCTACTTGAATTTACAGACCATCTCAAGAATTGACACACTGAAAACTTAATGATATCAAAAATATACATAAAGAAAACAAAAGGTTATTTAAAAGACAGGAAAGAAAGAATAGACAAAAATTGATATCAGAAGATACTCTGAAATTTGCTCTTAAAGGTAGACAAACTAAAGCCAATGGAATAAATGAGCAAGTAAGAGAGTTGAACAGAAAATTTCAAGAACAAGCTCAATAAGACCAAGTAAAGTATGCAAAAAAAGTAAAGTGTACAAACATCTGACATTACAAAACCAAAAGGAAAGAACACACTCAGCATTTCTCAAGTTGAAAGAACTGATGAAATACTTCAAGCCTGGACCTTAAATACTGAAGGATTCTATGGGCAAAATATTTAATGATGCAGAAGGCAGGAAAGGAAGATGAAAGTAACACACAAAATCATGGTTTCAAAAATTATTGTTTGATGTCTAACCATTTCCTGAGGTAGCATATGATCACAAACCAATGGTAATGAAAGAAGATATCCAAGATATACTGAAGGCATTGACAAAAAACAAGGTTTCAGAAACTGATGGAATAGCAACTGATATTTTTCGGTAAACAGAATCAGTCCTGGAAGAATTCACTCATCTATGTTAAGCGGTTTCGATGATAGCTACCTGACCTACCAATTAGAATAGATCCATATTTATGTGCATTCCAAAGAGAGGTTATCCAACAAAATGTTTATAAATTATCAAGCAATATCATCATTATCACTTTAAGTAAAGCTTTGCTGACATTAAAAAAAAAAAAAAAAAAGCAGCAATACATTGACAGGGAGCTTGCAGAAATTCAATGGGATTCAGAAAAGGACACAGAATGAGGGATGTCATTATTGATATCAGACGGATCTTGGCTGAAAACAGAGAATAGCAGAAAGATGTTTACCTGTGTTTCATTGACTATGCACAGGCTTTCAACTATGAGGATCATAAAAATTTAGGATGACATTGCGAAGAATGGAAATTCCAGAACACTTAATTGTCCTCATAAGGAAACTGTACATAGACCAAGAGGCAGTCGTTTGAGCAGGATTGTATGCCAGGATTTTATTTTTTCACCTTACTTATTCAATCTGTATGCTGAGCAAAAATATCTGAGAAGTTAGACTATATGAAGAAGAATGTGTTATCAGGAATGGAGGAATGCTCATTAACAACTTTCGATATACATGCAGGCCACACAATCTTGCTTGCAAAAAGCAAAGGTTATTTGATGCACTTACTATTGAAGATCAAAGACGACAGCCTTCAGTGTGAATTACACCTCTATGTAAATAAAAATAAAAAAATCCTCAAAACTGCTCAAAAGCAACATCATGAGAAATAGAAAATAAAGACTGAAGTTATTAAGGATTTCATGTTTCTTGGATCCACAATCCTTACTCATGGAAGCAGCAGTCAAGAAGTCAAACAAATTTTCTTCAAGAGACCTATCTAAAGTTTTAAAGCAAAAAGCTGTCACTTTGAGGACTAAGATACTAATGACCTAAGCCGTGGTATTTTCAACCCCCTCATATGCTTGTGAAATTTGGACAATGAATGAAGAAGACCAGATAATAATTGATGTTGGTGTTGAATATTGTTATGCCTTAGACTGCCAGAAAAATGAACAAAACTATCTTGGAATGCATACAGCCAGAATGCTTCTTAGAAGCAATAATGGCAAGACTTTTCGTTATGTATGTTGGGCATGTTGTCAGGAAGAACCATTCACCAGAGAAGGGCATCATGTTTGGTAAAGTAGAGGATCAACAAAGCAGATGAAGAACCTAAAGGGGATGCATTGACATAGTGGCTGCAACAATGGACTAAAATATAATAATTGTGAGAATGACACAAGACCAGGCGATGTTTTGTAGGGTGGGTATGAGTTAAAACCAACTCGACAGCACCTAACAAAAACAACAAGAATAAAATAACTCTATAATTGACGATCTGTTTATAATACCATTTCCAGAGATAGCAGTATATTATGAGTGATTTCCACCTCTAATAAATAAGCCACAATGTCAAGATTATCTTTCTGTGTTAAAATATAACAAATTCAGATTAGGTATAGACATTGGCTGGTATCAATTATATATCATAATCAAATTTGGATGAGCCTGCTATTAGTTTTTTGTATTATGTTTGGTGGCTAATAAAATGACAATGAGCAGCCCAGGCAAATCGAAGTATTTCTTAGATCCTTGGGTTGAAACTATTTTGTGGTTTTATTGATCATATCTTATAAACATCTATTCATTTCCACAAAATACAGTACAAGTTCACATTCACTCTTCTTCTGATTTGGGTTCACCTTGATACTATCTGGTCTATCTTAGGCTCTGGTGACATCTCTACCTTAATGAATTATGCAACAGAAATAATTGACAACTGAAATGGCAACTTCATGCCATAAAATAAGCAGCCTCTTATTGGAAAATGGCTGACTGTTTTGAACTGTGGGGTAGGTTGCTTCCATTGTGGAAGATTTAAATTGTGATATGAATTAAGACATGCTACATATGTGTCCCCACAGAATGGCATCCCTCTTAACCCCCATTAAATGGGATCCTAGAAACTTTGCCACTTTTCTTCTCTTGTAGAATTTAAGCATTGATGAAAGATAGCCTGTCTGTCCCAAGGAGGTAGCCAATTTTGTTGGCCAGCCATTTTCAGTAAATGTCCTTTCTTTATTCCTTTGTTGGCTGCATATTTCTAATTTTTCTTGCCTTCTTTTCACTAAGGATTATGATGCTTTTTTTGAAGCCAGAGAAAATAATGCAGTGTATGCCTTCTTAGGATTGACAGCACCACCTGGTTCAAAGGTATGTTTCGTTTTTGTTTTGGGGACTATAGATTATAATTTTATTGTTGCTGAATTTGAAAATATTATTTCCACCTATATTTATTAGTCATATTAAGCCAGATATATTTGAACATAGATAAAAATCAAATCACTTTCAATAGTGTGTAATTGTTACCTTGACTAATTACGACTGTCACAACTGTAAAGGTAGAAATTTTGTAACAAAATGAAGTGAGTTAATCTTCCAATCCAGGAACAGAGGACCCTAGGTCCATCAAGGGAGAAGAGCAGAAGAAGAATGTGGGACCCTATCCAGAGAAGCAACTATACCAGAAATGGAGGCAGAGATGATGAGATGTAGAGAAAGAGCAGCTGAAGACTCTAGACTCATGGAAAGAGAAAGGTTGTGTTCTGGCTGCCAAGAGGCGGGCTTGCAGAATGTGCCTTTTGGTTGTTTAAATGATTATATATTCCTGAGTGTTTTTGTGCACATCCCCCACCCCAAGAAAAAAAAATCAAAGCACTTGCTCTGCATGCACTTAACCATTAATAGGGCATACAAATATGTATGATCAAGTTCATAAAGTAAGTGAATAGAAGTTAAGATGGATTGACTTTTCCATCAAGCTGTTAAGACAGCAAACTTCTCATTTTCCCATTCATAGATAAAGTGGTTAAAAATTTTAAAGAATCCATTATTCTAGGTTCTCAAGAATTGTTCTAGATTAACAGCAAACATCTCAGCAATCTTCTTGGCAGCATTTATTGTCTTTGTGTAAAAGCAAATGCTAGTCATCGATTCAAGCTAACTGAAAACATTTGAAACGTAAAACTGATCAGTAAATTGCTAAACAAATTTGGGACTTGTTTTCCTATCACTGACTAATTATTCAAATAACAGGGTTCTCAGGGGAGAAAACATAATGACAGAGTGTAAAAGCAAAATAGCTTTTTTAAAAAAATGTATCAAAAATATGGACTTTACATGTATCTTTACTTTTACAATAGGTCTTGTCCTACTGTAAAGGCAGGCTGACTTAATCAGAGTATATGTCTCTTGCTCTGCCATTTTATATTTCTTTCTTAACAATTGATTTTAGGCTAAACAGATTATTTTTACTGTAACATCTTCTTCAATTTTGAGCCTCATTATTGACCATTCTTTCACTGGAGACCATTGCTAGCATTCTGTCTGCATCACAATAGAATTATGTTTCTTTGCCAAACTTTTTTTCCCATGGATAAGTTGTCTTATTTTAGGTTTTGTATAATGTAAATCATAAAGAAAAGTTAGGTAAGGCATTTCTGTTTAAATAAACTATAAAGAC